CCTGAAGTAGATTTCCTTCTGGATACAAGCCCAGGAGTGGGATTCCTGGTTTCTTTGCTTTCTGATCATTAAAACATGAGGGTTTAATATCAGATTGCTTACACTTAAAAATACAGATACTTATAAATACTTCCAGTAACTAAAAGAAGAGTAAAAAGTATAGATTTAAATGATTTTCTTAAATCTGTAATCTATCTTTAGAGATCATGATAAAAAATACTATCACACTACCCTTTTTCAGTTATTCCCTTTGAAAGACTTATTTTTTTAAAAGAACAGATAGTTGCACTTGTAAAATATAAAACATTGAAGATAAAAACAATACTAATAGAATAGAAAGTCAATGCTTTCATTTTTTCCTTTGAAAAATAGGATCTAGAACAGGAAATTTTAAAAGGAAATTTATATCCTAATTTCAAAAAAAAGATGATGTAAAATCACCTTAGGCTGATATGGTTTCATTATTAAGTGGTAAATTTTATGATTTGTAATTAAGAAGCTAGGGGAACTACTTTCAAATCTAAAATTCATATTTTTTCCTATAAATTTTTAATGAATTTTTCCACTCTAGTCTGAAGTTGTTACTTATCTTGTCCATGTCCTTATTATAGTACAAAAAAGTGTTTTTTCCTATTATATGATTCTTATATAATTAAAAATAACTGTTTCAGCTTAGTAACAATTGCTCAATCATGTCATAACATACTTGAAAAATATTCAAACTCTGATTTCCCTATTTTTTATTTGACATTCTCTTTTTTAATGACTTTTTTTAGCAGTCTGTAAGTGGCCCCTTTTTTTCTGTTTGCATATGCATTAGATTAAGTTTCATTTTGTGTAGCAGCCTTCTACAGTGGCAGATAGTGGTTAATATCAAGTATGACCTCATTTGGTGACATAATTTAAGGATTTCTCTCTTAAAGTTCAATTTTGGTATTATTTTGTGACTGTGGGCTTATCCTTCCTTACATATAATACATTAAATACAAGTGTTGGCTTATATAATTTAAAAGGATGGGTAGAAATCATTTGCAAAAAGCAGTATAAACACTTTCTCCAACCCATGTAACTGCCATTATCCTGATGAAGCTTGGTTCTCTTTGTGCCTGGTTGTATGACATCCTGCAGTCATACAAAGCGTGTTTTTTAAAAATGCACTGTTTATAAAAGATACATCTGTAATTAATACAATGAATGTAATTTTAACAGATGAAGTTTTTCAGTTTGTCTGTTACTGATTTTTGCTTTCTGCCCTAAATCTTCCTCTCTTGAGTGGCCACAATTAAACCGGGAAAAGAGGGATTTCCCCAATAGCACAACCAACACCCTTGGACCTGGGGTACCGGTGCAGGCAGGGCACCGATCAGGAAGCCAGGGTCATTGTGGAGCCCTGCTTTCAAGCTGCGCTGCTTAGTGCCCCTCGGTGCCCTGACCCAGACCCCGGATCAGCCCAGCCCTCTTACATCTTGGGAACATCTGCCGTTTCGTTTAGAAATTCAAGTACATATGTTGCTCCAAGCATATGCTCTATAAACATAGTCTTCTTCATGATTTGACCACATTTTTACTTTATTTTTACCTCATATGCATACCTTTAAAATGCAAATAGCCAAGTCATGACTTTGGTAAACTTTTTAATTGACTAACTTAATTTGAGATGCTAAAAGCTTATGCCTTTAAGGCAGTTTTAATTATGTTTCATTATCTCCAGATATTTCATTGCCACACAGATCACAGATTACAATAGAACTGAATTTATAGTTAGCACACAAAAAAAACATAATCTGTGGAAAGCACCAAACATACTGGTACTCAGCTGTAAAATTCTCTTTGAAGTAGAAATATTCAAATATTCATGCTTATGAAAAACTTTCTTATAATGGCAGGAAAAGTACAGTAAGCCTCTTTTAGGAGAAACAGGATATTTATTACCCAGTTTCACCAAGATGACATAGGGAGATATCAATAGAAAGAAACCACTTTTTCTTTGTTAATGGGCTTTGCAAAAAGAAGTCATAGTAATAATTGTTAACTTATTTTTTATTTAGGCAAGTGTTCCAAAAAGTAGAAGCAAACAAAAACATAAGTAGGTCTAGATTTTGAGCTTCACATCATGTGATATTTTGGGAAAATTACATTTCTTCAGGTACACTAGTTTGTGTTTTTGTTTCTTTTACTAAGTCATATGTTAAAATTATCCTCTGCTTTGTATAAAGGAGTTATTGTTAATACCACTGATGAAAGATAATTTGCTCAACACACCAATTATTGCACTATTTCTTTTTAAATTTTGTTTCTGTTTTAAGCCCCAGCACAACTTTGCCACCTCTATGTACAGATGATTCTTTCTGCTAAATTATTTGAGATTGCATTATGTTGGCCTTTCTTTGAACAAGTTATTTGGGCACTTTTTCATAGCATCAGACAACACCTCTAACCCAGATAATTAACAAAACACATTCATTCGTTGATACGCTCACTCATTCTTTCATTTGTTCCTTCATTTAAAAAAAATCCATCTGTCATGATTGTCACAAAAAATTTATGGTATGGCTGTATCTAGGTGTAATGTGCTTTGAGTTTTCTTTAAATGAGAGATGCCTTTGAGAAGCAAAGAATGACTTTATATATATTTACACAGTGCTGGAATGGTACCATTATTAACATTTTATTTCCTTTGTAAAATACCAGGCCTTACTTCAGACTCACGATGTAGTGGCACATGAAGTTTACAGTGATGAAGCATTGAGGGTTACACCTCCTCCCACTTCTCCCTATTTAAATGGTGACTCTCCAGAAAGCGCCAACGGAGACATGGATATGGAGAACGTGACCAGAGTTCGTCTGGTCCAGTTCCAAAAGAACACAGATGAACCAATGGTAAGTAGGAAAAGAAAGTTTTCTGCACTCTCATAAAATCCCAGCATGAATTAGAGCAGCTACCTTCAACCTATACTATAGGAGGTGGGGAGGGAAGGAGGGCATGGGTAGTTTGAAAGAAATCCGTTTCCAGATCCTCATTTCAGGGCCACCGCCATCCCCCACCACCCCTACCTTTACCTAAAATTGTTCTGCCTGACACCCTGCCTAAGGCATGTTGATTCTCCTTCCCACCTCTCCTTTCCTAATTGCTCTTCAACAACAAAAAAATAGACACACCTGGTACATTACAGTAGCGTGTAACAACCTCTGGAGCAGCGAAGAAAGGGACAACTTAAACTATTGGAATTGATGTTGAAAAAATGAATATCTGAAGTTCCTTGTATAAGTCTGGTGGTTTCCAGATCTTTTTCCTTCAACAAAATTAGAGGAAAACTAATTTGGAAGGTATTTAAAGACCTGAGTAACATTGCTAAAATATAATTCCTTCCATTCACATCTACCTATTTAATGTGAATTCATTTTCTCAGCACATAGGAGTAGCGTTGGTGTACAATCGAGGCTGAACCCTCCCTCATTCTCATACAATTCTCATAGACTGGGAAGATCAAGGAAAGGCTCCCTGCTGTTAACTGAACAGAGGGGAGAAGGGGAGTGGAGAACATCCAGACAAACCAAGTAGCATATGCAGAAACCTGCTAGTGAAAAGGCTCTTAGCGTAGGTTTGAAATGGAAAGAAGGCACCAGAACTGGACTGTAGGAAACAAGGTGAATGGCAGGAACAGGACCAGACAAGTGTTGATTCCGTTTTTTATCTTAAAAACAGTGGGAGGCTATTGAAGAATTTTAAGCAGGGAGAAAAGATCAGATTTTCATCTTAGAAATAACTACTCTGGAGAGTGGATTAGAGGGGGACAAGAGTGGATAGAGGGAGACCAGGTAAGAGATTGTTACTGCAGTAATGCAGGGGAGAGATGATGGCACTGAACTGGAGGGATGGTTGTCCAATGGGAAAAAATGAATAGATTTAACAAAAGAGTAATTTCACAGACCTTGATAATGAGTTGACAATGAGGACTGAGGGAGAAGCAAGTATTGAGGATGACCCTAAGCTTTAGGTTTTCACAACCAGTTGGACAATGATGCTACCCACTGAGACACTGTAGGGAGAAAGAAAACATTCAAACTTATGCATTCGTATCTTTCCCTCAGAGCATAGAAAAGGGATATTGGGAAATAGAAAAACAAATTACTTTAGAAAGTTGCCCAGTTGCTTTCCAAATTAAAGGAAGAGTTACAGACCATTGATCCTATGACTGTGATTTCCGGAAAGTCCTCAACTCTGGACATTGAGGTTGTAATTCTTACTGTGCCAGCTGTACTGTATTATCCCAGCACTTACAGCAGGCAGGGGACATGCAAATGACCTCCTCCCTCCAGTGCACTCCTGCCAACTCTTTGGGTTAAGAGCACGAGCAGTAGCAGCTTGTCGGTGCCTGAGGCAAATCACTTCATGTCCGTGGGCCTCAGTTTGCTCGTACTTTGCTTAGCAACTGTTACCAAAAGCATACTTTACGACATGATCCCCAAGAGCCCACCCGGCTCTGAAAGTCTGATAGTCCACTCATTCATTTTATGTATTCACTCACTCATTTAGCAAATGTTTGTTAAGTGCCTGCTATGTGCAGATCACTGTATACCAGGGACGTAGTGGCAAGTAAGACATGCTCCCTTTCTGGAGCTCTCTTCCACAGGCTACCGACATTAAACAAGTACACGTGCACTTACGCACGGTTCGTCTCACAGGTACAGTTACGACAAAGCTTTAGAGGAGAGAAGGCTGTGTTAGAAGCAGGAGAAGGGATGATGTTCAGCCAAGCAGAGCAGACCGGAAAGTGGAAGGGGTCACAAGAAGGAGACCCAAAAGTGTCTTGTGATCATAATGTTCTGAAGCAGCCCAGTGACAGTTGCTTGATCTTCTGTATGAAGGCCAATCACATAGAAATGTAGACTGAGTAAAAACGTAGAAGTGCCTGCCTGAGTTAGATTTTTCAGAAAGCCCAAAATGACCTAAAGTTCATAGTCTTCCCTAAAAGTCGTCTTAAAGAAGCCCTTCTCTCTTCTCTGTCTTCTGTGATCCTAGTGAAGGTGTGTATTTCTTCTTCTTTTAACTGGTTGCCATAAAAGCAGGAATTACTTCATGGGAAATACATATTTTCAATAATATAGTTCTCTATTACATTTTATATAGCTTCATTTGCTTGCTTATTTGTCCTATTAAAAGCATTATATTACCACGCAGGGTATACCTGTATGATCTCTTGTGCTTTTTGGACCTTCTACAACTTATCCAGCTATGCTCAGTCCATACCCCAAGGGTGATGTACTCCCATTACACCCTTGTTTTACCATTTCTAGCATCTTACTTATAATTTTTCTCTATTGATTGTCACTCCTTTAGTTGCAAGTGATAAATACCAAACTTAAAATAGCTTAGGCAATAGAGGAAAGGCTTATGTAAACAAGGAAAGGCCAGGAGTTTACCCCAAGCTGGGATAGGATCAGGAGTAGGTACCCAACCCAAGCTAGGCCAGTCCTTTCCCTAGAATTGAGAGCTTGAGAAGAGAGGAAACATGAGTCAATTCCTCTCTGCAGATCAATGTTTGAAGCAGACAAAATAATAAATATCAACTCCAGTAGGTTTCAGGTGAGCTTTCTCTAGCCATGAGAGACCTTGTCTGTCTTGTTGACTACTGTACCTAGCAGAGTGTTTGCCAGGTAACAGGTTCACAGTAATATTGGTTGAATGAATACATTAATTTATTAATTTCAAGGATGGAACCCCCATCATACTATCATTTCTCTTATAAAATTAGAGAACTAATTTCATAATTAGAATTAGAACACAGTAATTTACAACATTTTCCCAGGAACACCTCTCTTGGTAACCATACATGCTGATTGAATGTACAAGCTGAACATGAAACTTGAACATCACAGTTGAATACTGGGACTAGAAACACTTGGTAAACCAGTTTTTTTACATTACCTACCACTTCTAAGAACCACAAAATAGGAATCATGCAAAATTATGTTTTGTAGAATTGTACAAATTCAGACAGGGTCTAGATTATAAAGTCTCAAAGATTTTCATGAAACTTTCTAACAGAATGTTATTTTCCAGTAAAGAAAGTAAGAGTCCCCCTGCCCCTAATCTTGCCAAATTTAAGACCAGTTTTCACGAAGGGAGCTTGTTAAAAATACAGATCTGGGCTCCATTCCCAGACTTCCTGAATCTGAATCCAAAGACT